CCCCGCCACGAGCAGCCAGAAACCAGCGCGCTCTCTTCCAGGCAAGTCTAAGGTCAAGGCCCCCGGACAAGACAAGGGTCCCAGCTAGGCAGGGTTGGGCAGAGCCGCCGAGAGAATCCCCACCTTGGCACCATGTGTCAGAGAGAAACCGAAATCAGGGCGGCCTGGACTGAGCATGGGGGAGCCGGAGTGAGCCCCCCGCCCCTGCAGCAGGGCCTGCTCACACTGGAGACCTCCTGCCTGCTTTGGATGGGTGACACCAACGCCCACAAGTCTAGTGGGCTTCTTATAGTAACAAATGGCACACTTAGTAGCACAGAACAACACAATGTAGCCGGGTGCAGTGGCTCACACCTCTTGGCCCAGCACTTTGGGAGGCCGAGGGGAGAGGATTGCTTGAGCCCAGGAGTTCGAGACCAGCCTGGACAACATCGTGAGACCTTGTCTCTACAAAACTCAGAAGATTAGCTGGGCCCAGTGGTGTGTACTTATAGTCAGTTTCTCAGGAGGCTGAGGCAGGAGGATCGCCTGGGCCCTGGTTCAAGGCTACAGTGAGCCATGATGGGTCCGCTGCACTCCAGCCTGGGTGGCAGAATAAGACCAAGACTCAAAATTTAAAAAAGAAAAATTCTAAAGTATTTATTACATTTAGGCTTTGACTACAGATTTAAAAGCTAAGACGCAGAATTAGACGCATGTTGACTTTGGATACACGCCCACATTACACGAGACTAACTCCAGATGGAAACAAACGAAATACAGGTCGACACCGTCACGTGTGACAGGCTGGGTGTGAGGCACGGCCAGTCACGGGGGTGAAAGTGCTCACCAAGACAGGTTTGAACGGAGAAAAGGAGATTTACTGAAGAGAAGGCATGTTGTGAAGGACACAACGGACAGGACAGCAGTGAGAGTGCCTTCTGTCTGCTGCCAAGAAAACACCACCAAGTGACATCTCGAAGCTCCCTCGTTTTGAAATCCACCACAGATCTCAGTCTCCGTTGTTCCCTCCTTTGCTTTGGAGGCCACTCACCCCCTGGCTGGCCACCCCTCTCGCACAAAGCCAGCCCCGTGGCACCTCTCGGCTGTCTTTAGGCACCAGGGCCCGGTCACAACTGGGAGGGGCTCTCTGCCCTGAAGAACTCCTTGCTGGGGCCTAGGGGATCGCCCCGTCATTGCCCCCTCGAGGCTGTCCACCTTTGTCACATCTACAAAGGCCCTTGTTCCAACTAAGGTGACGCATTCACAGGTGCCTCGGCTAGGACATGGATGTCTTTGGGCGGCCTGTGTCCAAGGACAGCCCTGGCTGGGGCAGAAAGCAGTCCTGGGGCTTGTGCTGCCCCCAGGACCAGCCGGTGACTCTGGCAGGTGCGTGGGGTGCTCACCGCTGGACTGGACGCCAGCTCCCGCCGGGCTCTGAAGTGCAGCCTCCCTTTCGGGAACCGGGTCCAACCTGCAGCGGCGGGGGAACCCCACCGCTCGCTCTCCGCGCTTGGACCAGAGCCGCCCTTTCCCGCAACTGGGCAGCCTTTCTTGAGAGTCAGAGACGCCACTGTCAGCTCCTTTGCTCAGTGGCTCCCCCCACCCGTGGCACTCCCGCTGTGCTCCCCGCGACTGAGCCCACCCCGGAACAGCCTCTAGCAGGCAGGCACCCACCCTCCCCACCCTGGGGGCACCAGGAGGCCGCGTGTCTTGAGAGCAGCCCTGAATTCTGAGTCTTTGGAGGAGTCGAGGAGAGGGCATACGCCGGGCATGGGGGTCAGACCCCTGCGGTCAGATCAGGGAGCCAGCGCCACCCCACCCCGTGGGAAGCCCCGCCCCGCCCCGCGGGTCCCTCTGCTCCTGGTCCTGAGGCTGTGCTCCTGGCGTGGGACGCGGAAGGGACTGGGGAAGCAGAAGGTGTGAGGGCCAGACACCCGTCCTGGGCTTCTGCAGACCCCGCTGGGGACGGTGCCGAGGGAGCTCCCGCTGCCCGGCCGCCAGCCCCCCGCGCTGGCCCTCAGGGAGGCTCCCAGCCTCTGCCTCGGCCTCTTCTCGGGGTGGTGCCAAGTCGTGGGCAGGACCTCCCGGCCCTGGGGCCGAGACTTCGGGGTCAGTGCGAGGGGGAGGCCCACTCCCAGGCTGCCAGGACCCATGACGGAGGCCAGGCCAACGGAGGCCGGCTCTGGGCTCTGTGAGTCACCAACAGACGCAGGACCCACACACACACACACGCACACCCAGCACACCCGAGGCCTCCTAGGCTCCCCGCCGCTCCTTCTGCCTCCATGCCCACACGCGCACATAGGACACCCCTCCTGGGGACCCGATCCCGCTGGCTGAGCCTGCTCCCGTCTGTGCTGCCAAACCAAGCCTGCAACCCCGCTCCGCCACCTGCCCGACTCCGGCGCACAGCACCCTCCACGCCAGTCCTCACTGTGCCCGCGGCCTGCCTGCTCCCGGGTGGGCTACCTCCCTGCCGGCCCGTCCCCCCACCCTGCCAGGAATGCATGGTCACCACCCGGTCGCCCGAGTGGCTTCCTATGACCTGGTCACCTGCTCGTGTCCCCACAGCTGGGTTGAGGGCAGGGCCCACAGGAGATGCTGACGGGTGGCCAGGGAGGAGCTCCCGGCGCCTGACTCCGCGACCCTCCCTCGTGCCTCCGCCTCTGCCCTGTGCTGAGCTCGGGAGCCGCCCCAGGCCGGCCATCCGGAGGGCCGTGAGCTACGCAGCCTCGGTGGG